TCTGGCTCCTTCTCTGGCTCCTGCTCCGGCTCCTGCTCCTCCTCCTGCTGCGGCTCCTCCGCCTGCTTCTGCTTCTGTTCCCCCTCCTGCTCCTGCCCCTCCTCCTGATGCTCCTCCTGCTGCTCCTGCCCTTGCTCTTGGTCCCGCTCAAGCTCCTCCTCCTGCTGCTGTTCTTAATCCTGCTCTTTCTGCTCCCCCTCCTGTAACTCTACGCTGTTGACACTACGACGTTGACATTACGCTGTTGACACTAGGATGTTGACACTACGCTCTTGACACTAAGCTGTTGAGACTACGCTGTTGACACTACGCTTTTGACCCTGCGCTTCCTCCTGCTCCTGCTCCTGCTCTTCCTCCTGATCTGGCTCCTGCGCCAGCAGCTCCCGCTCCTGGTCCTCCTCCTGCTCCTGCTCTTGCTGCTCCTCCTCCTGCTCTGGCTCCTGCTCGTGCTCGTGCTCGTGCTCCTGCTCTTCCTCCTGCTCGGGCTCCTGCTCCTGCTCCTGCTTCTTTTCCCCCTCCTGCTCCTGCTCCTGCTTCACCTGCTCCTCCTGCTCTTGCTCCGGCTCCTGTTCCGGCTTTCCTCCAGCCCCTGGTCCGGCTCCTGCTCCTCCTGTTCCCCCTCCTGTGACACTGCGCTGTTGACACTACGATGTTGACATTACGATGTTGACACTACGCTGTTGACACTACGCCGTTGACACTACGCTTTTGACGCTACACTCTTGACACTAAGCTATTGACACTACGCTGTTGACACTACGCTGTTGATATTGACCTTTCAACTACTCCGGCTCATGCTCCTGCTCCTGCTCCTGCTCCTCCTCCTCCTCCTCCTGCTCCGGCTCCTGCGCCGGCAACTCCTGCTCCACCTCCTGCTCCTGCTCCTGCTGCTCCTCCTCCTCCTGCTCCTTCTCTGGCTCCTGCTCCGGCTCCTGCTCCTCCTCCTGCTGCGGCTCCTCCGCCTGCTTCTGCTTCTGTTACCCCTCCTGCTCCTGCCTCTCCTCCTGCTGCTCCTCCTGCTCCTCCTGCCCCTGCTCTTTGTCTGGCTCATGCTCCTCCTCCTGCTCCTGTTCTTAATCCTGCTCCTCCTGCTCCCCCTCCTGTAACTCTACGCTGTTGACACTACGACGTTGACATTACGCTGTTGACACTACGCTGTTGACACTACGCTCTTGACTCTAAGCTGTTGACACTACGCTATTGACCCTGCGGTTACTCCTGCTCCTGCTCCTGCTCTTCCTCCTGATCTGGCTCCTGCGCGAGCAGCTCCCGCTCCTGGTCCTCCTCCTGCTCCTGCTCTTGCTGCTCCTCCTCCTGCTCCGGCTCCTGCTCGTGCTCGTGCTCGTGCTCCTGCTCTTCCTCCTGCTCGGGCTCCTGCTCCTGCTCCTGCTTCTTTTCCCCCTCCTGCTCCTGCTCCTGCTTCACCTGCTCCTCCTGCTCTTGCTCCTGCTCCTGTTCCGGCTTTCCTCCAGCCCCTGGTCCGGCTCCTGCTCCTCCTGTTCTCCCTCCGGTGACACTGCGCTGTTGACACTACGATGTTGACATTACGATGTTGACACTACGCTGTTGACACTACGCCGTTGACACTACGCTTTTGACACTACGCTCTTGACACTAAGCTGTTGACACTACGCTATTGACACTAAGCTGTTGACACTACGCTGTTGATATTGACCTTTCAACTACTCAGGCTCATGCTCCTGCTCCTGCTCGCGCTCCTCCTCCTCCTCCTGCTGCGGCTCCTGCGCCGGCAACTCCTGCTCCACCTCCTGCTCCTGCTCCTGCTGCTCCTCCTCCTCCTGCTCTGGCTCCTTCTCTGGCTCCTGCTCTGGCTCCTGCTCCTCCTCCTGCTGCGGCTCCTCCGCCTGCTTCTGCTTCTGTTCCCCCTCCTGCTCCTGCCCCTCCTCCTGCTGCTCCTCCTGCTCCTCCTGCCCCTGCTCTTTGTCTGGCTCATGCTCCTCCTCCTGCTCCTGTTCTTAATCCTGCTCCTCCTGCTCCCCCTCCTGTAACTCTACGCTGTTGACACTACGACGTTGACATTACGCTGTTGACACTACGCTGCTGACACTACGCTCTTGACACTAAGCTGTTGAGACTACGCTGTTGACACTACGCTATTGACCCTGCGCTTCCTCCTTCTCCTGCTCCTGCTCCTGCTCTTCCTCCTGATCTGGCTCCTGCGCCAGCAGCTCCTGCTCCTGGTCTTCCTCCTGCTCGAGCTCCTGCTCCTCCTGCTCCTGCTCCCGCTCCTGCTCCTCCTCCTGCTCGGGCTCCTGCTCCTGCTCCTGCTTCTGCTCCCCCTCCTGCTCCTGCTCGTGCTTTTCCTGCTGCTCCTGCTCTTGCTCTGGCTTCTGGTGTGGCTTTTCTCCAGGCCCGGGTCCGGCTCCTGCTCCTCCTCCTGCTCCTGTTCTTATCCCTGCACCTCCTGCACCCCCTCCTGTGACACTACGCTGTTGACACTACGACGTTGACATTACGATGTTGGCAATACGATGTTGAC